CCCGCCGGAGGTATCCCTTCGACTGTCTGAGTAGCGGCTGAATTTCCCTGAAGTTCTTGGGGCTGACAATGATGTGAATTTACGCTGCTTCTCCAGGGTGCTCTAGTGGCAACCTGGTAAATTGTAAAGGTGCTTCTCGCAATCTCACCCATCTGTCGTATGGTGTGAATGGTTCTAATCAAGGCTATCATTGGCTGAATTTAGCTACTTGATAATTGCACTTTAGTTTGGGGTGTCGCTCAAGACCATTTAAGACAGGCGTAAAAAATATGATGAGTTATCACCTCGGTACGCCTGCACCAGCACGCAACGACAAACTTGTTGACGTCTTCAGTCCCATCACTGCACGAGGGGGGAGGCATGTTACAGAATGGCGCTCAGTCATCCTGCGCTTCATTATAGAGAGCTTCTGATTGTCGGGAGACGACTGGGTGCCCTGACACCTCACGAAGTTGAAAACAGTTTTAGATGACATGCAGCGCATTTTTGTGTGCAACTTCAAGTTCTGAGCGCATTTTTTGGCTCTCAGTATGCACCATAAATCCTTTTTGAATTTCCTGTGCCTTCAAAAAGCGGGTCAAGTGAAAAACATTGTTGCAATTTCAAGGGAATCATTGAATAATCTTCTTTTTGACATATAAAAGGCTAAAAAACCGTTTTTGATGCTACTGTTTTATTTTACGATATTGATACTCGCTCTATCCTCTTCATTCACAATCAGTTCATATGGTTTTGAGCTTATCGTTTGTACCGGGGCTTCGCTTGGATGTCTTGTCTTACGGTCTATGTTTGAACCCGGAGTATGCGCAACATTTCACGCAGTGTGTGCGCATCGCTAAAGGCTTTAGCGCATATCGTTGGCATTTTGCCAAAGAAAAGCCGAGGAGAATGAAAAGACAAACAGATAAAAGCAGTACAGTATTCATACCCAGATGGGTTTTAGTTCGATATGAAATCTGTAGCAGCGAAACACCGTGAACGGTTGCGTGGCGGACTCCCGCCGACCCAATCCCTTCCTGAACTGGCTAGAATTTTATTATAAAGATGAAGGTTTCGCTTTCTTTCATCGCTCAGAGTGAAACTTATAGAGTACATGTCTGTCGAAGGTGTGTTCCCATTGATCACAGTATCTGGCACAATGTCCGCGGTCACTTTTATTTAAGAAAAAAACCAAAGAGACACTTCTGCTTTCAGGCTCTCACGTATCCTTGTAAACATTGTCTATTTCCTATTCCTTCTGAACTCCAATAAACAGCTGTAGAAAAGGAAATTGCGCTGAGAAAACTGTGGGCGTTTTGCTGACTCCTCCATATACGAGTTAGAGAAAGATTTCACAACGCTAAGCAAATGATGCTATTTTTGATCCACTTGTAGCTGGCAGAAGAAATTTCATGGGTCATCTTATATATAAAGCTGAATGTCTGTTTGTATGTATGTATGTCTGTCTGTATGTCTGTCTGTCTGTACGTATGTTCCGAATAGAAAATTCCATTTCTGAACCGATCCGGACCAAACTTGGCACACATACACTTCCGGCCCCGGCGGGTGTCATAGGCTACTTTTCGTCATCGATCGATATCGACTTTATCGATTTTTTGCAAAATTTGAGCTACGGGGCTGGGAGTTGGCACAGGGGGGTAAGTGAGCATGGGGATTCCGAATACAATATTAGTTTTCAAAATCGTGCATTACTTTTATCGATTTTATCGATTTTTTGCAAAGTTTGAGCTACGGGGCTGGGATTTGGCACAGGGGGGGGTAATCGAGCATACTGATCACCCCCGTGGGGGTGCTTTGCATTTTGCAAAAAATCGATAAAGTCGATATCGATCGATGACGAAAAGTAGCCTATGACACCCGCCGGGGCCCGAAGTGTATGTGTGCCAAGTTTGGTCCGGATCGGTTCAGAAATGGAATTTTCTATTCGGAACATACGGCGGAGCCGGGTATGCCAGCTAGTCATCAATAAAGACGATATGGAGATGCATAAACAATTCCACTACTAACCAACTAAAGCCTTATAAAAACAACATCAATCTATTTCGCATTTCAAAGGGCCACTGAAAGTGATTAATTAGTAGTTAGGGTAGTTAGGGAGACTTGAGGGAATAGGTTGAGTTTGTTCACTCATTGGAGATGATTTGAATGATTTCGCTCACTGTGTTGATCGAAGTTATTTCTTGACCAGTGCGTCACCTCTGCTTCGCAGAGGCTCGCACTGGCCATATTTTCTGTATGCCTTACTCATTCCCGCCTAATAGTGACATTGAAACTCACCGCGCTATGTAGGCTATCACGAATAATTCGTAAACAACTACTCATTCGTAGAGGTTTTCCATGTGAGATCGGTATTTTCGCGTGGATAAAACCTCTCCCAGAAGAACAGATGCAAATTCGAATAGATTTTTGAAATTTCTATGGCTTGGTAGTCGCCGTAAGGACAATAAACATAGTGGGCTACATCGCTGTGCAAAAATCTTCTCAATGACCAGGTAGAATTTTAAAAAATTGACCGTTTACATAGCGAATGCTTCTTGGCGCTGTTTTCGTAAAGTAGTAGACTTTTCATTATATTTTTAGGCTAACGTCCATGGCTTGCACATTAGCTTGTCAAATATATCCTTAACTCTGCAAAAAGTAGTACTACGGACCCAAATTTGCTGGCCAGAAGTTAAGTGGATCCGTTTGACGCGCAATTTCCAATTGATACACTCAACGGATCCGCTCATGCTTTTGTATAGTCAGCTTTCATGCTGATAGCGTGCGCTATGCAGAATTTGGGCTAGGACGTTGGCTGGAACACGCTTTACGATTTTCGTGACAGACAGACAGACACACACTTTACGAATTTCGTGACAGACAGACAGACAGACACAGACACACACACACACACACACACACACACACACACACACAACACACACACACACACAACACACACACACAACACACACACGCGCGCGCGCGCGCGTAAACAACCCTTAGCCCGTTATTATAAGTTATGATTGCAAGAAAAACTTTCGCCGCCCAACAACGCTGCTCTATGCTTGACGTGATGATGCAGAAGCATTGAGGATGAGCCATAGGGCAGCACCAGAGGGTTGGTATAGTAGTACTTATAATAGCACTTGGAGATGATTAAAGCTGTGTGCAGTGTGCAAAGCTTTATCCGCTTTCTTTTCAAAAAAATGTTTTCCAAGCTCCGATTTTATAACCAACAGCGGTGATAACTTCTCAAAAGCCACTTTGTTTAAAAGATCTTTGTTAGATGCCAAAGGCAGATTTGAGTTTATATTCGGCTACATTTTTTGTGGAAAACCGTATGGTAAGAGCACTATTATAATTAGCTTCTCTTCCTAGATAATCTATAGACGCCACTGTATGGTTGCTAAGATTCTCATCAAGTATCATTACGTACTTTTATTGGATGCTGATATTCTGATTGTTAATCCGAAAAGGTAATAGAACTTGTAAAACTTGTACGCAACAACAGACTAGAACGGAACTATATCTTACCGCTTTAGCAGTTTGATGTGAAACAGCCAGATGATTTGAAGTTCCAAAAAGACACGTTTATGTGAAAAATTTTTTGAAGATGCTCAACGAGCGAGAAAAAATGTGTCAGACAAACTTTTCGAATTTCGCTTATGCGTGAAATGTCTAAGCTTTCAATTTTGACATCAAAACTTAGTACATCGGACTGGCAAGGCTGAGTGTACTGTTGGTGGGATCGGTTGGTAGTAATCTGGTCGAAACTCCCAGTTTAGAGCTCCGCGTTAACTTAGCGATAACTCTGAGTTCGGTTTTTGAAACTCAAATTCCGAGTTATGCTTATTGAAACTCTGAGCTCTGTTCTCAAAGTTTCAAGTTCCAACTCTCAAGCTCGGAGTTTTGCTGTTTGTGGAGCTGTTACACACTTTGCTGCAAAAGCGAGGTTGAAGTCGGGACTTCAACCTGTGTGGTCTAGCACAATGATCCCATCACTAGGCCGCTAGGCCATGACACAATCTCCAAACTCTTGTTTTTAACTCAACTTTTTTTGCCATAATGTACTCATTCCACTAAAGAGCAAGTCAAAACATGTTTTGTGAAGCCTTACTCATTTTCACTTCTATCAAGAAGTGGTGGTTTAGCGCACGGATTGATCTTTTGCGCAGCTGGAAGCTTCGACAATACAATACAGCACACATAACAATAGCTCCTGAGCCAAGATTTTACAATATTTCAAAATTTTGTAAATTACAGCGCACCACCATGCTCCCATCATGCCTGCTGAAACTATGAGCAAAATGTACTGCGGAGGACTTTTTAGCTGCCCCTCTTCTTTTATGCACTGTTTTTCTTTCTCTGACCAAGCTCAGAGTTATCTCTGAGTTCCACGAGAGAATTGGGACTCGCATCAAACTCAGAGTTATCGCAGAGGTCAGCTGCGCGTTTGGTGGCGCTGTTGCGTGTGGAGGAGATTTGGACTGTTGCTCTACCAAATATAAACTACCTGTTACGGAGTGTCCTGCCATATCATCGCTTTCCAGATTTGGTCAGTTGAAGCACCTGTTAACACCTGTTAAGAGGCTCAAAAGGTGCGTGCTACCACAGAGATAACTCAGAGTTGACTCTGAGTTATAACTCTGAGTTTCGACAGGCTTACTACCATCCCTGGTTTCTGCAAATGGTCTTAGAATAATAACTCACAGAAGTATATGATTGGCAGTAACAAGAAGACACATATATTACCAAAAGGACCTTCGAATGCTGATCTCAATTCTGCTTTTCTTGTATGCAAAACGACTCTAGAAGAAGTTAAGTTACACTCATTTTCAACTTATTGTTAGCTCCCAACCAACAGTGTACATCAAAATTCAGCAGTGAATCGTTTCGCAGACAGGAAAAGCAGATTTGTAGCATTTTGATTCTTGCGTGGTGATGTGCATCTTTTCTCCATTTGCCACTGCAACTTGGTCCATTTCTCTTTATATTCAAATTTATAGACACTGATTATAGGAGAGTTGAAGAGTTCATTGATCCAGGCGCTGACATCACTTTCTACAGCCGTTTTCACAATATGGAAATAATGGCTGGTTCCTATATCGCAAAAAACACAATGTGGGCGCGGAGTTTCTTGCATGGTGAGTTTATGATATGCGATATAGACTGACGAAATATCGATTGCAGTTCTCGCAAATCATTACAAGGTGCATCCTGATGTAATCCGCAGATCTGACAATTTTGATCTTATGGTCAGTGTGCTAGAATTTGCCAATAAAGTTACGAATGGTGAACAACATTGTATAAGCAGCTTATAGCAGCCGATATCTATTCCACCCCGACGTGCATGACAGCTATGTTCACTAAAGCGCATTTTACTCAATTTGAAATAAATTTTTTTAGTACTGTAATGTCTGTTTGAACCCAAGATTCATAGCTCCCACTGAGCATCTTGCTGAAATTAAACTACAGATGACTATGCGAAAATCACTAATGTTTCTCAATATAAAAAAAACTATATTGAAGTAGCAAACGATGAAAGTTATTTTAGGTACACTTAGCAGAGCTTCTGTCAAGGGGTAATAACACGGAAGTTCTGCAATGTCTGAACATGAGAAAAGTGGGCGTATTTGTACAGTGTGTGAGAATACTGTTCGAATTTAATTCCGAGCATTTAAAAATATACCCACGAGTATGTTGTGACATTTTTAAAACAGGCAAGAAAGGCAAGTGATGTCAGGGTGAAGCATGGGCTCGCGACATATGGCTGACGACCAGCTTCTGGAGTGAGCAACGCGATTTTATGCTGCATGGTTGCAAGGAAAACACAAAAGCGACTGGTACTAGTGATTATGTGTAAGTCATTTTTTACAGAGACAGTTTTGTTTCAAAGAAAATGGAATTTGTAATTTGCAGGCACATTTTCGAGAACGCGCAGAATGCCGCATGGCACAACCCTATTGCGGGTCCTATGAATTTTAGCGAATGCAGAATTGGGTAATAATCTTGACTATAGCCAAAAGGAATGAGAGACTCGATTTGGGACTCGAATTCCTAGTGTGTTACATAGTGTGATTTCAAAGTTAGCTTTGTAGGACTTATGAATTTGAATTATGTAGTTTGTTGTAAGAATTATGGATTTCGAAATTTTAGTAGAACCCTTTGAGCCGTTCACAACTTATTCAAGGACACAAAGGGTTCCTTCATACTACGCCGCAGCACGCGGCAGCACGCAGCAGCACGCCGCTTCCTGCGGGGTGCGCCACTGCAGTCGCAGTTGAAATATAAGCTCGCTCGCTCTAAAGGAACCTCTCGGACACGAACATGCAACGAATATGGAGTATATCCATGACTAGCGAAGCTGTGCTGTTGAGCGTATATTTTCACTGCGACTTCAGTGGCGCACGTCGCAGGACGCGGCGTGCTGCGGCGTGGCCGCGTGCTGAGGTAGGCTGTTGCGTCCTGCGGCGTAGTATGAAGGAACCCAAAGGTTCCTCTATATACAGTGACATACTTGCTGCGGGTTCATTAGGATCAACACAACAATACGTAAACATATCAAAGTGGGGCGGATTCGCCGCCGCCACAGAAGTCGCATGTGCCTGAGATATCAAGAGCCAGCGAGTTCTATTAATTTGTCTTCATAAGTCTCTTCCCTTCACATTTCTGCTGAGATAAGTCACATCTTGCTTCCTAAAAAGTATTTCGGTAAGCCCTGATAGAGCAAATCAAGCCCTACGAGATAAAATAGATGATTGCTCTACGTAAAGTCAAAAGCCAAAATTTAAAAATAATGAATGGGAGGCAGTGGATCGGCAAAACTTAATAACTCAGGATTTTGACGCGGTAGGTTGCTTTCCACCCAAATATGAACACAGTGCAATCCCGATCGCTCACCATGCCTTCTCTGCCGAGAAAATCACTTTCAAACTTACACGCGCAAGCCAAACTCACACGCTTTCGGACGAGTTGACAATTTCCCTCTCACCATTAGAGGCTGCCCACCGCAATGCCATAACCATTGGGTCCCTCAACGATTCAGAGTCTTCAGCCTTGCTGCACCCGTCCAATTCCAAAGAGAAGAACTTTGGAAAACTTGTTTTGACTTGTTTTCGCCATTTTCGAGCTTTCTAAAGTAGATTTTCGACATCAGCGCATTGGATAACCCCAGATAAGCAAGAATTTGACTAGGTTGAGATTTGCCGAGCCACTGCCTACAAAAAACCAATTATCAATATCTCCGTTCAAAATACTTCACGGACTTCTGATTTGCTCAGGCATATACTCTTCATTGTGAGGTTCATACAGGGCTTACTAACTGCAAAGCCGGGTGCACCAGCATCACAGATCCCACGCGGCAGGCTCGCCTGCACTCTGCATCTCTTTCGCAACATGCTCTTGCTCTCTTATCAGTTTCTCACCAGAGCGGTAAAGAAACTTCAGTCGCTTTAAGCGCGCGTAAATGATGGAAGAGCGTGTTTGTGAGGCAGCGCAAGGTCTAGTGGATGCGGCTTGGGGGAGCGGAGATGCTAATGCACTCGATGCAATTGGCAAGCCCTGTATATATAAGGTCGTCCCAAAAGTTCGTTCGCACCATTTTCAGGAATTCATAACCTCTGATTTTTTCAACCAATTCAATGCTTTTACTTATATTTGGAAAGGTAAATCATGATTAGATCAAAAATCATTTAAATCATAAAATAAAAATCATTTAAGTTCCTTTAATTTCGGTAAATCATTTATAATGGTATCCTAGATGGCTACCAGTATTCATCTCTTGCGTATATAGAAGCGGTAAAGAAAATTACTCGAGTTTTGAATTTTCCGTGTAGGGTCATAAAAAATCTGAAACTTGCAATAAGAATTGGAGCAGTTGGTTTTGTAGGTTCTATTAGCTTCTCTTTCTAACTGTGTGGAGTTTGCGCTGATTGAACGCCTCTATCAATTGTTATGATTCTTGAGAAAAATGCCAAAATAAATCAAAATTGCCTTTTTGTATTGCTTGCTCGAAAATCATAACTTTTAGTAGAGATGTCAAATCAGCATCAATTTTGCACATTTAAAAAAAAGCAGGCAACAGAACCTACAATACCAACAGCTCCGATTTTAGTTGCAAGTTTACGTTTTTTTTATAACCCTACATAGAAAATTCGAATTCCAACTAATTTTCTTCTATCGCTCCTATCTATGCAACAGATGAGCATTAGTAAGCAACCAAGACGTCCTTATAAAGAGCATGACTTGCTCTTTCATAAAAAGCACAAAGCGTTTGGGAAAATCAGGAGTTATGAATTTTTGGAAATGGTACGAACGAACTTTCGGGACGACCTAATACATTCATTTTTTTTCTCTTTTTCAAAGTCAAACTCGAACCGGATAAAATAGGCCATAGATAAAAGAGTGTCTCCTTTTTGGGATTTTTTTCGTGCAAAATCCACGTTTTCTCAATGACTAACATCTGTAGACGGCTGAAATTCGTGATTATACCTGCAAAGGTTCAAGCCATAAAACTGCTTCTATTGCGTAACTTTAGCAAAAACACAAAAATAATTGATTTTCGATTTACTGCCATAGAAAAAATAAGAAAGTTCATATACAAATGCCGGATATGGAGAGAGACAGATATGAATATGCATGACAAGTAAGAAGTTCGCAGAATTTTTGTGGGCGAAGATATGATTTTTTGGTGCTGGTGTTGAGAACCATTTGGATGTTGGCTTGAAACCTCGGGTGGAGGCAATCTTGCAAAACTTGGATTCTAAGAAGCCCGTAGAGTTTACTTTTCTCTATCAAAAGGTGCCTAAGAACCTGCTATGAGGGCAAGAACAAAATCAACTCATTGCAGGAGAAAGTGAAAGCGAAAAGACTCATGAGACAAACAGCATAAACAGGATGAACACCTATACAATAAAAGCAAAATCATTCTTCCATTCATGCACAAATCATTCTTCCATTCATGCACATAGACAGGTTTGCTTGGTTTGATATTTGAAAATTTTCTTTGAATAGACGAAAATTAGCACTGCGTAATGAGCGACATGATCAGCATGACATAGAGACAGCAAAGAAAAATGAAAAAAACTGTTTTGGATTCAGCATATTATTGGCTATACAGCTGTTTACTTATCAACTTGCAGTGATTCGCATTCACACTTATTCCACTGTCTCGTCCATGCCTTCGGTCTCTTTTATCATGACTAAGATATCATGATCATGATAAAGTAACAGACCGAAGGCATGGACGAGACAGTGGTATATGTGTGAATGCGAATCACTGCAAGTTGATAAGTAAACAGCTGTATAGCCAATAATATGCTGTGGTCCAAAACAGTTTTTTTTTCATTTTTCTTTGCTGTCTCTATGTCATGCTGATCATGTCTCTCATTACGCAGTGCTAATTTTCGTCTATTCGAAGAAAATTTTCAAATATCAAACCAAGCAAACCTATCTATGTGCATGATTGGAAGGATGATTTTGTTCCTATTGTAGAGGTGTTCATCCTACTTATGTTATTTGTCTCATGACGCTTTCACTTTCTCCTGCAATAAGTCAATTTTGTTCTTGCCCTCATAGCAGGTTCTTAGGCACCATTTGGTAGAAAAAAAACAAACTCTACGGGCTTTATAGAATCCAAGTTTTGCAAAATTGCCTCAACTCGAGGTTTCAAGCTAACATTCAAATGGTTCTCAACTCCAGCACCAAGAAAAAGTCATATCTTCGCCCACAAAAATTCTGCGAATTTCTTACTTGCCATGCATATCTCATATCTGTCTCTCTCCATAAAATCGTTGGAAACTACAACCCTTTGTTCTCAACATTCTCACTGTCGCTGATTTTCACAAATTTTAACTGAGGCTTTGGGGGTAGCTACATGGCCAGCAGATACGGTAAACCTTTTGCCAATTGAAGCATTTTTTTGCTCTGTAGCTTGCTTTTTGAATTTATAAAATATACACGGTGTCCCAAAAGTAAGTACACACTTTTCAATCGTTAGTATCTCTCTTCCCATTGTATCTTTATCCGCCATTCAAAAGCCATTCTGTAGAGGAGGCATGGCTCCAACTTTGATTCACATTATCGATTGAATGACCGATCGCCCTTCATTACTGTGAGATTACGGTTAGAACTTCCGCCATGTGGAATCATTAAGAATATGACATCTGACAAATTTTTTTTCAAAAAATCTAAAAAATTGTGTACTAGGGTTTGCGCGCACGCTGATTCCACCACACAAGTTTTTAAGAGTGTCTTCAGCTTTTTTGACGGTGCAATCACATTTCTGACAAGTACTGGGAATTCGGTTATTACGGTTTACCTGGGATAACTTTGGAAAGAAGCATCACAGTAAAGTGGAAATTTCATATTCGAAATCAACGGCTTCCACAACCATAGGACAAGGGTTTTTGGCTTGTTTGGTTATGTTCTAAGGCAGAGTATGGCTTCCAATGGCCTAAAATCCTTGTCGAAGTTCCTACAGTAATCCTACAGTAACGAAGAGAGGTCAGTGCTCCGTTCGATACTATATATCTAAGTTGAAGCCTCCTCTACAAAATGGTACTCAAAAGGTGGAAAAAGACGCAATGGGAAGAGAGATGTTAACGATTGAAAAGCGTGTACTTACTTTTGGGACACCCTGTATTTTTTGAAGTAACCAAATTATTCGGCTTATTCTAATGAGGAAATGGTCAGAACTCAACCCAGCCATTCCAAACAGCTGTATATCGTCGGACTCGATTTAAACGGTAATATTGAAGTATGTTTTTTCATCTGCCAAGCGATTATCTGGGAGAGGTTATGAGCGTTCAAATATGAGAAATTCTTCATGTTTCGACGAATTTATTTTCTTGGAAGGCAGTCTGATGGCGCAAATTTACAGTGGCTATCTATGGTTATTTCAATTACAAGGAAGAAGCATATATACTAGAAACCTACATAAGTGTTTTTGAAACCTATTTCGTGGTAAATGTGCTACGGAACACTCAAAAAAATTGCACATTTAAA